AATTATAGGAATAAATGAAAGTGCCTAAAGTTGCTGGATAAATTCAGTTTAAAATTCAAATGCAAGAATCACATCACACAGATCGATATGAAGAATATAAAGGTTGTGCAATAATTGACATCTATTTACACAGAAAGGAAAGAAATAAAAAGTGCCTTCATCACAGACCAGCTTATGGTCATGACAGAACTGCTGTGGCTGAGAATGGAGCTAAAATTATACAGCTATTGACGAGTAGCAAGTTACATGACAAATAATCCATAACACTGACTTAGAGGAAGATTTGACTGCTGCTACACAAAGGAGCAGCTGCCAGAAACCTTATTGAGCCACAAGGACTGTAATTCCAAAAATAAGTTGTTTTCTAAAGACCTCTGAACTTAGAAAAAAACATGCTGCTAAGAGCTGATAGATAGTTGAACCTGGGAGTTACAAGTGAGGCCAGTATCAGTATTAAATCTTAGCATAAAAGTCACAAAGCTCTAAGTTGATTATGATAAAACAATGTGTTTTAACATCCATATCCAGCTAAGTCTTTAAAATCAAGGGAATCATTTCTTGAGCTGTGTGTACGGTTGTGGGCCGTCTACTGACCGGTTCTGCTCTGCCAGAACAAATGGAGATTCTGATACTTTAATGTTCATGAGGTTCCCTCTGGGTACTGCAGCTTCCTCCCACAGTCCAAAACCATGAATGTTAGGTTAACTCTCAGGCATGTGTGTGTGTGTCTGGTTGTTTTTCCAATTTCAGGTTATAATGCCAGTTTTTAAAATGTTTTTTATCTGAGGAAACCAGTTACTTTGAATGCTTACTGCAGCGATCCCTCACACTGAGGGAGCCTGTGGTAACAGCAGAGAGGAACCGATCCATTTTTAAAAAGATTAAGGTATAAATAAAATAAAGTCAATTGTTTGTTGTTATACTTTAACAAGCAGGTAGAATAGGTGAAATACGGACACATTACTTTACAAAAACATTTTACTTTAAGAGAAATATTTAATCTGATCGCTGTGTTAGAAACATAAATGTCCACTTTTGTAAAACATGCCTGCCAGCATCAGCATCTTGCCTGATAAGCATTGTCATGACATGACATGTTGACAAGTCTGTGTATGTACAAGGAATCTTTAGTAGCATGATGTCTCTGAAAGAGTATTTCCTTTAACTGCTGAATATTTATCTGCCACTCTGTGAGCTTCAATCAGAAAATACAAAAGGAACAGAAATATAATGGGATTCATTCTTTGAATGCTTAAATGGGACTTTAGAACACAAATGGCTGGAAAGGTGTCAGAAATGTCCGGGCAGCATCCATGGCCAAATATCTTATGTGTTTACAATCCTGAGCGGGTTGGAATGTGAATATGAAACTGGATGTCATGTTGAAAAGCTTCTAGCTCACAATCCTGCTAAATTTAATTCAGGAGTTTTCTTCTTTTAAAACCATTTTCATTTGACATCTCTGGGGGATTTTGCAAAAGTGAATATTTGTATGTTACTCATTTGCAGGGGATCTTACCGCTATTAAAGTGCCAGCTTATTGTGCTGTGAAAAAAATCAGACCATAAATCATTCAAAACTCCATTAAAAAAATGTGTAATATTCTGAGCAATTAACCTGAAGAACAAACCAATCTGTTCTAGAGAAAATTAAAAGAAGAAAAAAAGGATTCTGGTCACACAGATGACCAGAACATAGCTGACCCTAAACTAACTTTGTCGAAGCGCCTTTTGATTAATATTTGTTCACTTTGCCTTACAAATATTCTGGTCCACATTGTCTGGACCAGAACTTTCACAGATGATTCATTTGAGTCCACTGACTCTTGGCCAGATTTAGCTTTGGACTCAGACTATGCCATCCCAGTCTTCTGTTTTCTAGCAGAGGCTTAAAGATTTTAGTCGATGGTCTGATTGGTATTTGGAATTATTCATAACTGCTTTCACCTTGACAAATCCCCAGTTCTACCCAACGCAAAGTTACTTATTCATTTGGCTAAAAGAGGTAGAATAATCTCCAGGAAAAAAGGCAGTCAATCTTGCACTATGCCGGAGATTTTTCTTAAAGTCAGTACTCTGCACTCAAAAGTCAAAGATGGAAACAGAACTGAAGCAATATCTTTGCATCTTTAAAAAGATTGTTCATAAAAATGAGAGTGGGGACCCAGCAGCCAGGGTTATTAATCTGTTTGGAGCATCTTGGTCAGAATGGGGCCAGTCTCCTGGTGAGTCACTCTCAAATATTAAATTGTTTGCATCCTACAGAGCTGATGACTCACAATACCCAAAACATTGTCTTTCAACGAATGTTGTCTGTGGACACATCAAACCTCAGACTGGCTGAATTTATTGTTATTCTGTGCTTAGCAGCATCAATAAAAGTATGATTTTAATGCAAAGACATGTATCAAAGTCTAATTTTGTCTGCCCGTTTTGCCAAGGATGTTTCTTTCTTTGCGGACATGGTGGATAATCAACACCTGTGGTTCTGTCAGACTCCCGCTAGAACGACTTTCCATGCAAAATCTCTCCCTAATTGGAGCTACTCTTCCCCTGTGCATCAGGACATCTGTAATAAAATCCTGTGATGAAGAGGACTAAAAATAAAAAAAAGTCAGTTTTTGTCTCTCTGATGTTACAGTGAAATCTCTTCAACACAAAGAACAAAACGGGCTTCTGGAAAGAACAGAATGGTGTTCATATTAATCTGGGGATTCAAATGATTTGACTGACTTTTTTTTCCAGGCCCAACATCACAGGATGATCAAAAACAAGAACTGGGAAAACCAGCCTGAACTTACTTTGGATTTTCTCTAATCCACAAAAGAGCAAAATTACGAAAAGAGGCTCCAGTATGATTACATGGACCCTCACTCATACTTTGTTTGATGTTCATTTGAAATTTGCTCCTCCACCACTGAGATGATACCACGACATCTGACCCCTCTGATTGGTGTTCATTACTAAGATAGTTGAATTCCTGCATGGATTCAGCTTTTCAGAATAGTCCAGGCTCAGGACTTTATGGAGTATTCCAGAACTTTAATGGCACAGTCATTGTTTCTTTTTGAGCAGCTTATTGTGCCAGACTTTAACATTGAGAGTCCTGCATGGTCAAGCTTCTTCTGATAATAATGGGTTTGTCAGGCCACATACCCCTCTAATCTGTTTGTGTTTCGTCTTTAGTGAGCCACATTGGGATTTGGGGTGTTGAGTTTATTTCAAATACACAGCGATGGAAAGGAAAGGAAAGGGAAACATTTAAAAAGAGGTAGATAAGAATAGAGATGAGAAAGGAAGATAAAGAGAATAAGAAAACCTTAGAAGTCTGTTTCTACGCCTGCAGAAAAAGAGCAAAATCAGAACTGACAGCGACAAACAACGTGTGCGTAGGAAAACGTGACAGCCTTTACTGCTTACTGCTAAAAATCTCTGGCACTACCTGAAAATGTTTCACTAAACGGTTATTTTACAGTTTTTATTGTTTTTAGTACTTTTTTTTAATATTAGGACCTTCACAGATTGAGAAAAGCAGCAACTTCAAAATAAGAATGAACACAATATCTTCTTTTGTTTCATGAGATTACTAAACAAAAATCAGTGGGCTTGACCTTTAGCCCTATACTAAATATGTATAATAGTGACCCTGTGTGGGTTAGAAAAAAATCGACAATGAATTCACACTTTTAAAGTTATTTGTTTTGTTGAACATTCAACTGGGAGGGGAGAAAGTACAGAAAAGTAACTTTTACCAATAACTTTGATGCTTCTGAATGTTTAAAGATTTCAGCCATGAACTGTGGCCGTTGAGCTTTAGTGAAACCCAAAGCTTTCTAACACTGAGCTGCACCTGCAGCAGAGCTTCAGGATGGAAACTGTATAACCCACCAGGTTCTGTTTCTCCTGAAAAGAAATGAAGCTAGTGGAAAATCTATGAATAAGTTGAGAGTAAATGATGACAATTTGCACATCATTATGAAATTATGTCTAAACTGCAGGACGAAGATGCCCTTGTATGTTTTCAGCCCACATTTTATTTCATGGCAGTCTCTATGGTAGAACTTGGGAGTAATCCCATCCAACAAATGCTAACATAGATTGCATCAGAAAAAATCTTCAGTTTGTACCTCACAGACTGTAAGGTACAAACACACAGATCACACAGAACAAGGAGTGTTCAAGTAAAACAACATTGCACCTGCCTTTTTCTCCCTGTCTCTGTTTTCTCCCTTTAAGGCCATTTTAAAAAAAAGTATTCAGCAGATGCACTCCCTCACTAACCTGCTGCATTTGCTGGATGTTTTTCAAGGCCTCCTTCACTAAAACTGAACCTTGCAACTTAAAGTTCTTAGTGACTCTGTCAGCAAGAACTTTCCTACACGTGAGGCCATTTTGATATCATATAACAATAGCAGAAAGTCCTTTTTTAGAGGGAACTTTTGCCGATATTAGTCTTTTTGTTTTTTTACGTATCGTATCGGTCAGATAAATAAAACTGGGTCAATGTTAATGGTATTTATTTCCATCTTGTTGCCATTTTCCTCAGGAGATAGGAGGAGGCCGGTCATGTGGTCTCTGTTTGGTCATATGATAGTGATAGCGTCACAAGATTGTGGGAAGTTTAACTGAAGCATAGAAGCAGTGGTAAAGATAGCAGTGTGGTCGTTTTTTCCAAGGTGTTGAAAAGGAAGTTATCGGCCACATCAGCAATAATACACATATGGCATATTATTATATTATGCACTCAGGTCTTCATGATCAAATTCTTTTATGAAGGGATAATAAGCCTCACCCAGCCCTTAAAATCACCAAGATACCCCAAAATTGTTTCAAGTTTCATATTAGCTTTTAAAATGACCAATAAATTGGCAGTCTAGAAAAAAAGAAGCAAAACGTTAACACATTTGCATCCCAAAGTGCCTCATGGTTTAAACTGAACTACATCTGAGTTGGTTCAGACCAAACTATGTTCTTTGTATGTGCTGAATAGAATATAAATGGTCTCTGTTTGTATTAGTTAATATCAGCTCCCACCACTATGCTGGATGAAGGCAGATGGACTGAGGCATTCTGTTAGCGTCTGTCCTTTAAATAGATTTCTAACCTTTTCTGTCTACAATAAAGCACTTACTTTTTTTATGCTGTCATAGCAACGATTGTGCCATGCATTATTGCTATGATTATAAAACATATCATGTCTTGCTTTGTCATGCTTGTCTCAAGTTTTAGCTTCCAAAGAGGATAATAACAGATGAAACTCAACAGGGACGCAGAAGGCAGAAAGAGGAGTAGATCTGCACAAATCCCACAAAAAACAAAAAAAAACAAAAAACTTTAGAGTAACAAGGCAACAGCAAAAAGTCACTCGTTTCCCTCCTAATGTGGAACAGAAAAACAAACTGTTTTCTCATACCAATAAGGCAAAAAGAAACTATTCAAGAGGAAAAAAGATTAAGTAATTTCAGATTTAATGAAAACAACCCACAAAAATATCATCAGAATGGAAAATACACACATAAAAGCAAGAGGTACAGTAGCAAATATTCAGTACAGTAATATCAAACATAAACATTTGTGTAAACAACATTAACTATATTGAAAGGTATTTACATTCATGAATATTCTTAAAAGCTGCATTTGTGGTGTTGTTCCAAGACTCGAGCATTAGGTTGACAGCTGGCTCTGAAATTCACCCAGGTCCTTTCCACAGCAGTCATATCAGAGTGGAGAACAGGAGAATCCATGTGTCACAAGATTTGTTTCTTTCTGACTGCACAACACAACTGGACAAAAAGGTTAAAGCAGGTAGGCTTCAACCTTATCTGCCACAATGTGGCACCACGTGGCAGCGTGGTGCAGCAGCTCTGATGAGAGTTACTTCATTTAAATACCTTATAGGATTAATAAAAGCTGGATTGTAGGTAATTCTTAGTTTTAGCATTTACTGATCAATATCACAAGCCAAATTTAAAGCTTAAATGAAAATTGCCTTTTACTTCTTAGTGAGCTAAGAAGTAAAAATTCCTTGGTGTTCAAAATAGAAAAGAATCAAACACAAACTTTTTGAAAATTAGATGCTTGTCTTTCAGTATTGCCCTTGATATGTTTTGGGTTTACATTAATTTATATATCAATTTTTGACAAAAAAAAAAAATCTTATTTCATTTCTTTCAAATACTGCATGATTAGTGGATTGTTAAAGATGTTAAAATAAAACAAACAAAAATAATTGGTAACCTAAATGTTCATAAAGACTCCTTCATGTTCATGACAGGTGTTATGTCATATTTATGACAATGTCATGTCAGTCTTATGCACATCCCTTCAAATAAAGTGTTAACAAAAAATGCCTGAAAAACTACATTTGTAGTTTGAATTTTGGTGGCCCTTGAGGACTTTCACCTTGACTATTTTGACTAAAGTATGTTGTGCTATTTTAATTGATTATCACTTCAATTTTCAGAGTTACTTTTTAAAAGCCCATCTAGGGACAAGTGCTGCGAATTAGCTGTTGCTATTGCACTATGATGCAAACATGGGACTGCTGTTTTATTCAGTTTGTCTATGTCGATGTGTGTCTGTCCCTATCAAATAAACTTTATAATTTGGCAAAAAAAGATCCATATTACAGTGACATGTTTCATGGCCCATGCTTGTGTGAAAGGTTGAAGTTACTGAAGGATCTCAGCTTTGCATAACAGTACTAACTTTGGATTAGATCTTATGTATGTGACATTCAATAATGCACATTTCTTCAGATAAAAGCCGATGTAGTGTTTATGTTTAGAAACGAAGCACAGCCTCACCTGCACCTTAATCACATTGAGGTTTTTGGTTTTCCTGTACCTGTCTTTTCAAATCTAAAATCAATTCGTAAACCATGAGATGAGTTTTACCAATCATACATCAGTTTGTACCCACTGATGGAACACTTTGTATCTGCTGTTTGGCAAAAAGTTATTTATTTAATTAGCTTTCTACATTCCACTCGGTGTTCTGGGAGGAAATGTTGTTCTGTGAGGTTGCCTAGAGTTCTGTATATCTTATATGGGGTGAGACTGTGGGTCAGAACCAAAATGAATGGAAAAAGTGTTTAATACAATGTTTTCAGAAAATAACATGAAAATAACAGTAGGTGAGATTTGTGTATTTTTATGGAATACACAAATCTCACATTTGTGTATTCCAAATGGACATTACCTGTCTGAAATGGTCTGTTAATGGGTATGAAATTAAAATAGAAATGAGGAGAATAGTAACACGAAGGAACTAAATGGTGCTATAAATAGCTAAGTAAAGCAGAACTTAATAATTTGTTTGTTTAAAAGACGAAAACTAATTTGGAAGTGATTTGTACTATTTCTGTTCATAGGCGCAGTTTTCCTTTGAGCCAAATGCTAACAGGATGGTTGGAGGCTCACAAAGCAGTACTAGCTTGTTTGCTTATTAGCCCAAGACACAAAATCACTTTGCTAGCATGTGTTACAGCTCATATTTTTACCTTCACTGTACAACTTATGTCACATAAAGCCATTTCTTCTTCTATGCTGCTAAAAACAGACAATCGCCAAAGTTCAGGAGACATTTTCTGCTTATTTTTAGGTATTGACGCAAGTTCCTGAGATCTGAAATAGACGCCTGACATTCTTTGGTCAAAAAGCCAACAACAAAGAACCAAATCTTGGTTTTCAGCCATGAGTGTACATAACTGAAAACCGTGTGCATCCACAGCGAAGAGATTTAGAGAACGCATTGAGGCACTTAACTTCATTCCATCATATTCTTCTATATTGGTGAGTAGTTTTCTATTCTTGATTCAACAGCCAAAAACTACAATGTGAATGTACATTCAGGTTTAAAAAGGCGTGAAAAACATTTTCCTATCTGAACAAAAGCAACAGTGATAAGCTTATACAACAAGACGCCACACAGATAAATATTTAGCAGCCATAATAACCTTTTAATACTTACATTTCCCTCAGCGTGAGTTCAATCTTAGATAGCTGCCACTGGTCTATCTATAAAGAAGAGCCCCATTTGTATGAATGACGTGAACTGGTAAACATTTGTGAAAACAGCCAGTTCAAAAGGATCAAATCCCTGCAATTCTGTGTTGCTCAATTTATCAGTAGTATCAGTCTGTTCATTTTTGAGGGCCCAAAAAAATGGGCCCTCAGTTGTGCTTTCTCCTGATTTTGTTGAAAGCACATTTCAACAAAATCAGTTTGTTGAAATGTGCTTACCCTATTTTATAATATCCTTGGTGAAATGCCTGTGAGCAGTGAAGACACTCAAATGATACTCATACATCTAATTCTGATTAAGTCCACATTTAGAACTGGGACAGATGACAATGGAAATGTATAGTTAGCTTGCTACACCAATCAGCCAAAACTTAAATAAAACTTAATTCTTTAAATACTTTGTGTCGGGGGAACTGGTCTATTATGGCCATGTGCAACGTGATTGGAGTTTGTAAATTGGCTTTTTCAGCAGAACTTTTCAGCAGGATTACTAATGCTTCAAAGAATTGGCAATGGAATTTACGCTTCATTTTTTTCCTTCACTTTTCAGCAACCACTTTAATATTAGCAGAAGAAAAATGGTCTGCTTGGCACTTACAGTTTGAGCTGAGAGAGTGACAAATGCTTAACATTTAACAAAGACCCCTAAAGGAGGGTCTTTACCACATATCATTAAACTACATATCTATTAAAACCAAATAATTTAGTTACTTACAGTTTTGAAATATAAGTTTGACTGACTAGAGCAGAAACACTTACGAAAACTCGATACAAGTACGTGTAGACATAAGTTTAAACATTGCTTAGGTCCAGATTTACAGCATCTGGCTTCTTCAGAATGTCTAATGTAAAAGTGGGATTAAAAACAGAACAGTTTTAGACTGCAGGTGCAATGGAAATATGTTTGCTTATTTTCATAGTGTATCTGTGTTCTACTTGTGTTCTATATGTAATACATACACAGATTTTTTAGAGGGAGAAAAGATCAGAAATGGACTGTTCAGACTGCCGTGAAAAAGTTGGATTTTCCGGCTGTGAATGCAGTCTGCGAAGATGCAAAAGAGGATCAGTCCCGCCAATATTGTTAAGAGGGAGAACCGTATCGTTCCACTGAGGAACGTATAGAAATTGACATAGAGTTAGATTAGAGTTGGTGATAATCTGGCACACGATTACAACAGCTGTGCCAACAGAGTGTAGAATAGAATGGCTGCATGACAACACTCTGATAACATCATCACCTGTATCCAAGGTGGAGGTGGTGCCACCTATTACTTATTTGATCTGATATTAATAATCCTCACAACAGACAAATATTGTTTCACTCATTTCATTCCACCAAGCTATTGTGTGCTTAACCTTTATGAGTGTATTTTTGAAACCCAAGGTGCCCTAACAAATTGCATGTTGTGGTTTTTCTAGAACTGTAAAGATATTAGACAGTTTAATCATCAAAATATGTGCTTTCAATCCTCATTTCCCCCATAAATGTATCCCAATATGACCAAAAAACAAATTTTGACATCTTCAGGTTGTAAAGGTTTTCCTCCTTTGATACCAGGGCTATACAGAGAAACACTATCATCCCTGAATCCTTAAAAATAGAACTAAAAATACACACATGACATTAGAATGGTGTTAATGTTGGTACTGTTGAGCTAAATATGTACGCCTGTGTAAATGATGCAAGAGAAAAGACGAGCATGATGTGCTAATGGACTGTGATTATAAAATCTATTCAGATCTCGAAGAATACTGACAGCTTTTAGGGAAATGAATCTGGATTTCTAGAGCAGAATATGTAAAATTACAGGATAGATGGTGATAAACAGCCTTCACTGCTCACATTGTTTTTTTTCTAAATAAAAGTACAAATAATTAAGGACATGAAGTAAATCACACACCCAAATAAGGGCAAACACACTGGTTTTAAAAAGCAATCCCAGAAAAGCTTTCCATCCGCCTGTTTAGTTCTGACAAACTCCACCGGAATTTCAATTATTTTTGTTCATTGTTATGGGCAGTATAGCTTCCTTTTTTTTTTATCAAGACAGATACAATAGAAACACTTACTTCAATGTTAACTAATTAAACAGCTATAAAACTAAAGCTCAAATATTAAACGTTAACTGTCAAAAATCTGACTTGCAATTGAGGTTTTCCCACAGATGGGGGCCACAATAAAATGTTTGCACTTGCAGTTTGGTTCTGTTGAATTAAATAATGATAATGTATTTGTTGATAAAATACAAACAACAACTCAGATTAAACTATAGGGGCAGAGAAGAAAAAGACATTAACACAAATCCAAAATTTAGAAAAACGTGTCGTCCTATGTAGGGTTCTCCACGTTGATGGATGTGACAGTGGCCATGAAGCAGCGCTGGAAAAGGCGGTCGGGGTCTGGCTGCTGGTTGTCACAGTCTAGCTTGCCTCTTACAAAGTGTTTCCTGAGGCCTTGTGGGCCAGCAGGAGCGCTGCTGTGGCTGGCTCCGGCTCCTTGTTGACTGATGATGGCGTCTGAAATAATGAAAAAACAAAAAATAAAAACCTGAGGATGGACTCAGCATGAAAAACATATTGCTGCTTCTCCAACAGATTTATCAAAGCAACTTAACCCATTTAAGATTGAATGGCCTACTGTGAGGAACACGATTCATAATGAGGAAGAGAATCTATGACACAAATGGCTCAAAGCCAGTAGTCTTGGTGTGACACTGAAAAATGGGACCCACGTACGTTTAAGCTGTGTTTCACAAAATAAAATAATTTTCTTAAAACCAAACTGAGACCAAGATAACATTTTGCACCCAAAACGGAGGCAGCAATAAAGATTAAACAGTTATTATCAACAACCACAGAATGTCTTAAAGTTTCTTTTGCTACTGGACACTCAGATTACTTTGTCTCTTCAGACATACCTGACATGTTTCCATGATATGCTTCTTAGTCTGAAAACTGAGAAAAAAGAAAACTTGAAGAGGTGTCACAGATGTTTCCAGAAGCAGCATCAAACAATCACTATGACGACGAACTAACATTGCCTACTGCTACTGGCTTTTTGCTTGACGATGCCATTCCAGGTGTAGGAAGGCTAGAAGGTCCCTCATCCCGGTCTGTGGCTGTGTGGGTTTGCTTCCTAACCTCCACCACCTCCATGATCCAACGCTGATGTCTGTTGTTTCCCCTTTTGATGATCTTGGCCCTTTCCCAATCCATGATGTGACTTTCCTGTTTACTGTGGTCCGCAGTAGCTGATTTAAACTTTTCTTGCAATGCCTGTGTTTTTTTTGTTTTTTTTTGGCTTGTTGCTAGGCTTAGGAACAACAGCTGTCACACCTCTGATGAAGACGGAACCATACAGTCGAAATGTCAGGTAATTTCAGTATCTAATGACAAAATCAACTTTAAGATTTTATTGCATATAGACACAATTAGTTTTATTGAAATAATAATAAAAGGTGAAAGCAGGAACAGAACGGCCTTTCAGGTCAGACTCTAAGAGACAGGATGGTAACTGACTGGTAACACAACAAACAGGAAGTTATGTTTTATCCAGCAGCTGGTTTCCCAGGTTTTCCTCTTCAGAGACTCAGATCTATTAGTGCATTAGCAGATAAGCCTTCCGTTCCTCACAAGACTAAAGATTTGAAAAGATAGTCTCACTCCAACCAATGAAATGTTTTTTCAGCATCAAATGACATTATTGCCTCACAGGTTTCTCTCTCTGGATGTAGATGAGTGGTATAGAATGTTATACTGGTGTCTGATGTTAAAAGAATATTAATCTTTTCTAAATCCTGTCTGATCAGGGATTGCCTTCTGAAGATGACATGCCAATACCTTAGCAATAATTTTTGTCAGTGTTAAGAAGAGAGGTAGGGCAATTAAAAACTGCAACTAAGCAGCTCTTTGCCTTTTTTGAACAATAAAGATAGAACTACTACCTTTGATGTCACAATGACAGCAGCAAGGCCATCCGGACTGGGTGCTTTCCTGCTTCTGAATGCTGACGCTATTTCTGTAATTGTCAGATCTTCCTCAAGCTCATTAAAATGATCAGCAGTGACAGAAGGGATTTGCAGAGATCTGAAAATGTTTTCTCAGCTCATCAGCGCCAGCGGGCAAGTCAGAACTGTACATTGATTTGTAAAAGTCTCTACAGCAGGAATTCATTTCTGCATCAACAGTGTGTCGCCCCAATCAACCTGTCTTCTTACCTTTTTATGATAGCTATCATTTTGGATACAAGATATTCAGCTTGTTGTGTAGAAAGAATATCAAATTCAGGTTTAGTGAATTTAGTAAAAAGGTCTGCTGTCGGATATCTATGGTATAACTCATCCACATTTAGAATCTCTTTGGTTAGTTGTTTAAGACGTTCCTTTTTGCCATATGAAATTGTTATGCCCCCCATACAGGTGTTCAAAGTGTCCCATAATGCCAAAGACGACACTCCTGGGATGTGATGAACTGCTACATAGAATTTACTTTCAGATGAAACATATTTCAAAAACACTTATTCTGAGACCAATAAGGCAATAAGGAAACTACTCTCTGCAGAGAGTAGTTTCATAGAGCGGCCCAGGGTCTGAGATGACTTTACATCCAGAATCACACTTTGTTATTAGATGCAACATTCTCCTATTAACACAAATATGAATTCTATATGTGAAAAAGTTTTATAAGAGAAGAAAGAATACGTGCTGGAGGTGGGGTTATGGAAGCACCCCACTGTAATTTTCAAGCAGTGAGTTAATGGACTGGGTAGATTTTGACAGGGTGCACTTAAAAGAGCATACGCTTTGCATCACATGTGATTATAAAATTGTGTATTGGCATATTTGGAAAATTAGAAAATAAATTGTAGAAAAATATAGGATCATCCTAATTCAGGAACATAAAAACAGGCCAATACTGGCAGTGTATAAAATTGTTCAATTACAATCACTATAGTGCCAAGCAGAATCTGAATGTACAACAGATTCCACAAATTGCACATTGCTGCTAATTATAGTTACTGGTGATGATGGAATGATGATGACCTCCAGCCAGTCACCTGTATTCCTCTTGCCCAACCCGTTGGGAGTGGTCAGTCACCATGTCTTTCTCAAGCTGCATCACTGGGGCTATCATAACTGCCAGAGAGTTGGAGGCAGGCTTCCTGGGCAGATTAAGGATTCTGATGTTGAACCTCCTAAGGATTCTGTCATTTCTTTCCCTTCGATCTAGAAATAGCCATGCATGTGTTTCTTATTTCCAGACTTGACTGGAATGGACTACTGTGTATTGGTATTTCTCAGTCCTCCTTGAAATGACTTCATCTTATCCAAACCATGGCTGCCCACCTTTTAGCTAATTCTTCATATCACCCTGGTGCCTTTTCCATTACATTGGCTCCATATTCATTGCAGAATCCAGTTTAAACTCTGATTGTAGTTTTGAAGGCTTTGAATGGTCTTGGCCCATCTACTCTAATATAACTCTATCTTATTTTTCAGTCCTCTTAAGGTTTTCTGTTCCATGTCAAGATATATGGAATAAAAAATTCACACTACTGATTTTTAGGATTGGTGAAAAAGTTTCAAGTACTCTTTTTTTTTTTCTTTTTTTTGCACTGCTGGGTTTAAATTTGTTGTAATTAGAGCTTAATACAAAAATAGAGACTTTTTAAGCTAACTGTTCTTCAGCTGATCTAAAGTTTAAGAACATTATCTTAAAAGTCTAAATTAACACACAAATCTGACTTTTGTTTTCTGTAAGTCTGTCGAGCCAGTCAGTCAAGATTGGACAAAAATTCAAAAGGTCTGAATAGATTCTGACTACAGCCCAGTAACCATACGTGAGACAAGAGGTCAGAGGATTCAAGCCATCTCCAAAGGGAATGTTTCCTAACACAAACTCGCTTGTGTGGGTTTTACGAGGCAGACATTGATAAGAAGGTTTCATTCTCTGATGGCAGGGTTGGTTCCCAGGTAACTGTCTTCTAGGTGGCACAGGGAAGGAGGCCCCGTAATTATCGGGAGCCTCTTCCTTTCAGTGGAACAAAGACGCTGTGGACAGAGTTGGGCCATTACATGCAGAAGTGGCAGTTTGAATCCCGCTTACAGGTCTGGCTCCTTCAGCAGGATTTCAATCGGGGGAATGTGCAGAATTGTACAGAATACGGTTGTGATAGTTAGAGCTATTCACCAGTGGACATCCACCAATCTGTGGATTCCTCTATTCACCGATGTTTCTGTGGAAAGTAACTCCAAATTATTTGCAGAAAACTCCTATTCACGGAATTGTGTCTTTATTTTCAAATATCTGAAAAAAGCATGTTTACCAACAACTCATCTATTTCCCTCAAGGCAAGAATGCTAGGGAAAACATATTGAACACTTTTTTTTTTATCAGATTAAATTTGCAGAGGAAGGTTAAAGCTTTACAAAACCCAAGATCTTAAAATGTTCAAAAACTTTGGATCGGTAAATCTCTATAACCTCTTTAAACATTTTACAACTTGCTGATGCTGGACTGTTATTCAGTGAGTTACAATCAGTGAGAAAGTGATTCAAAGAATTAACAAAGTTCAATTATTTCACAATTGTATGTATGTAATGTCATACATACAATTGTATGTATGTCTCATTTTCAAGAGAAAATGGGGAAGAATGGCAGCAACACATCTACCAATCAAAACTTCAGACATCAAAAATTAAATGAAAAGACAACAGTCCACAACAATATCCCACTTATGCCAAATGTAACTTCGCCTTCTTCAGTCAGTTTCTAACAGAAATGCAATTTAAGGACATTACAGCAATTATAACAATAAAGACCAGACACTGCCCCAGGTAGTGACTTCAGTAGCTAAACTCTTGAGTCTATTTCGTGGGTTTAATAGACAAAAAGTACTATGCATTCTATGGATTTTTGGTGATTTTTCTTGAGAAATCAATCGGAAAATCAACCAAAGGAAAGAGATATTTTATTCTGCAATAACAAGAGCCTTCCATGGCAGACAATGTATTCCTCTTTTAACTTCACAAGATAAAAATAGTGCAAGTATTTCAGTTCTCATTAATTAATGTAAAAAAAAAATGTGGTAGTGACTTCAGAAGACAAAAAGCTGGTGAAGTCAGACACACCGGTTGAAAAGGAGTCACTTGTCTGTCTGAAATTTAACTTAACAAAAAATGATCAAAGCACGAATAGAGAAAAATTCATGATGAAGTTACACTGTTTCCTTTTCATGAGCCACAAACACCAAACAGTCATCCATGTAGAAAGAAACAAATTACCCACAGTTTATTTACTCAACTCATTCATTCATCTTTTACACATTTTCTCAGGGCAAATCCAGTCCAACATGGGGACAACGTTGGGCTAATTGCAATACTAACAGACAGCCCCTATTAAAGGACCAGCATTGTTTTTTCCAGGCATATATGCCATTTTATAGCTCAATCAAGTAACTATGTTAACTTCAGTTGTTAAAAAAATGCTACTTATATCAAAGAAATTTGTCTTCATAATTTAATGCTTTAAAATCAGGCCTCTGTCTCCTTAAGAAATCCTGCTCTTTATAAAACTCCACCTTGAGGAAGTCATCACAACATGGCTATTCTATTAACCCTTTAACAATGTCTTTACCAGCGTTTCACTGAGAAGTAGCTGCTAAGAGCTAGTCTGAAGGAGCTGAATGGGACAGTCCTGGGTGAGTGCTGCTCTATGTAGAAGAAGCTCAGAAGCTTGGAAACTGTAACTTCGAGGAGGAGCTGAGTCTTGAAGGCGGAGTTAGGTCCACCCAGGCTTTTTGCACAGCTGAATGGTCGCCATGGAGATTAAAGGATTTCTCAAACATGCATAAAAGAATCAAGGCAACGCTTCAGTAATGTTTTTGATGAGGGAATAACATAATATGATGTAAAGCTTAAAAAATTGATCGTACATAACACTGCCCCTTTAAGCCGCTTCACACAGACATGTTGTTTTCTGCAGTATTTGTGTCCATATCCATAAACTCAGAGCTGTCTTTGTTTTCCTCTGGATGAAAGAGTAACACAGTTAGGTGTTGAGAACCAGGTTTTTCAATGGCAATCCATTTTCTTCAATCATCTCTGATGTATCCAGTACACAAACAGCCAAACAGATGCCATTCTCCTTCAAGAAGCCAATCTTCTCTCAGTGGACCTTTTGTTCCAATGTGCACATGATGCTGGCACATCTACTCTTCCACAACAAAGACACTTTGTGCTGTCAGAACTGCCTCTTTCAGTTTCACGTTTTTCTCTTTCAATTCCAATAAAGTGACATCTGTAGCATCTGTAGTTCCCTTTAACCAAAATGAAGTTGTGATCTCTGCTCCTTCACACATTTATTTAGGTTTGATAAGGGAGCATAGTTGGTGTCTCCAAATAAAGGGAAAGTTAGGATAATTTTTCTCTTAATAGAGAATAAAGTTGGTCGTTCAATTTTTTCTGCAGTTTGTAGGGCACCTTTTTGGTGGCTACTATACTCTATCTGTGATGTCCAACTCATCCAGGCAATGAACTCCTTCCATTTCACTGGAGCGTCCTCTAAGGACACGGCTGTGCTCCTGAAGCATCATCCCTTTTTGTGGGAGGCTGAGAGAAAACTCGTTCCATGGGAGCATGGGCAATATTCTGCTAAATAATGTTTTTGCTTTCAGGATTGAGAGACTGATGGGCTCCTTCAGACGCCCATCAGACCTCAATTCCAGAAGATAAAGTCAACCACTCAGTTATCTTTATTGAAAACCAAGCTATGTTTTTTTGTTGCTAAAATGGAAGGCATTGTGTTGTATCCTTATTATGTACAGCATATAGTTATGATCCTCATTTCCTGAGCTGTGATTAAAATTTTGAATGCATTCATTTTGATGTAGTGTCCTCTCTCTGTTATTAGAGAGAGGACACTACCTCTCAGCGGGATACAATGTTTATTACATACAGATGCAATGTATAGCTAGCTTAACTCCCTCTGAATGAAGAGTCCAATAACCGCTTCCTTTGATGCTCTAGTAATTCATCTTTTTCCACTGATGATTTCTCATGCTGTTTATTTCTTAACTGATACTGCAGCAATTTCAGAGGAGGAACAAAACGCTGCTGGGTTAAAAAAGAGACACTGAGATTAAAAAATGTCTTTCATTACTTTACTACGTAAAAACACAACTTAGAAAAATTATGTGCAAGACACGATTAAACTAAAAATGATTTCAAGACGTGAAGCGGCCACAATTTCTTCCATGGTACTCAAGCAGGTGGGTGAATAGCCCCTAATTACAAGTTTAATTGAATTACATATAGATAAGAAAATAAGAAAACTATAAAATTTGAAACCTAAATGAATGAACATCCGACAAATTACTTTAATGGCTCCTACAGAAACATTTACGGACCCAAACAGATGTGAGCCTTCATGAATCAAGCTGGTGATACAGAGCCCTGTTCAAGCCTCAAATGGAACTCAACAGGACTCATACAGAGCATTTCATGTAAAATTAGTGCCAAGAATCTTCTGTTCATTAAAGTGAAATGTTAATGTGTACATATCAAATACACATAGTAATACACAGCGTGACGGCGGCGATGGCAGTAGGAGTTTGAGCTACACTGGGTGGTATGCCCGTTCGGTCTCTGGGCAGCTTGCCTGCCCACGGCAACTGTGGCTACAATCCAGTAGCTTGTCGTCATCAGTGTGAATGTGCCCTTTACGATTTTGATCTGAATAAAGGGCATTATAAGTAAAATTGATTATTTGTATGTGAATAACCTCGCTCATGTGATAAGTCATTAAAGATCATGGCAGCGACGGATGTAAATAGTTATATGAGATTTATTTGTAATTCAGCAATGGCGCAAGCAATCATCATCTATCAGCCAATCAGAGGAGACTTCAGCATCTTATTCAGGTGTTGGAGCAACAAGCTCCGCCTACCTTGGAGTGGCTGTGTTCTGAGGACATTGTATTTGGCTATTTTACAGAGGAGATGCAGATTCAACACATCTGAATGACAAGCAACATTTTCTGAACTGTGTGATGCAGAGAGCTCTGGTGCAGCTCCAGCTGAACATTGTCTGAAAAAAAAACATCATCCTGCTACCACTTCCTATCGTCTTCTTTGTCGTTTTCACCAGTAGTAACTTAGTTGTTCATCACGTGACTCATGAGATGTGAAAAATGTGTTTCCTTTGCAATCTTTCTGAAATACGATACAGCTGAAAAACCATCCTAGCGCAAAAGCTTTTTATTGAAAAACTTGAGTTTTTTCAAAAGTAGCGTGCCTTCACTGAGCAAATTTATTGTCATAGTTTTAATTTACACTATTCTATGGATAATGGAAATGCATCTAACGTCTGTTTAAGGTCTCTTAAAACCGTGGGTTAACCCTGGTCAAATGTACAAAAGTGTATCTTTGGCCAGCTGGTTACACAAACAGATACATCAACCCCTGGAGCTGCCAAGTCAGCTAATCCAAACATTTTCAGAGTCTGAAAACTCTAAAAATGGGTAACAACCAGTTAAGGTTCATCAGCCTTTTAATTTTTAAGCTGGTTGACAACATTCATACTCAAGAATTCTTAGACTGATTGATTCATGTAAATCTGCATCCAGCAGCCAGTCATTTACTCTCTGTTCCTGCTTCATTCTTTCCAGGGTCAAAGAGGTTACAGAGCTATTGCTAACACCACAATATATTGTCGATCGTGGACACTGTCACACATCAACCACTAAACCTGACATGCATGAGTTCGGAAAAGAAGGAGCCCAGAGAAAAGCCCCACTGGCACAGGAATATCCTGAGACTCAAACTTGGAATATTTCTCCTACTTGGTTGATGCTGCTTGGATTTTATTTGACCTTGTCACAATGGGCTTATTGTTAGAATTTCAATCACTCTCCACTCACCAATTCTAAACTGAAATCATCTTTAAAGCATGCTTTAAACATGATTTACATAGTTTGAAACATCGTTTTAAGCACATCCCATGAGTAAGACGCCTCGAGATGCAGAGATGCACAGAGATAATCCTCTACAGCTCTATAAACTTCACTGAATTCTCCCCAAGATTATCCAAACCCCAGAGGGATGAACGCTGTGGGGTAACACTTAATGCCAAGTGTGTGAAGACAGACAGGCTAAAACTATTGACATTATTAAGTATTAAAAGTTTAAGGTCTTGAAAATACATTTACAGCCCAGTCCGTCTTTTTTTTCATCCCAACACTATTGTCAGTGGACTACTAAATAATTTAAAAGCATATCAATGTTTTAGTAGACTGGGCCCCGCACAGACCATGCATCTGGAGACAGTACCTGGTGCTCGAAGGGGCAGTCCGCTGTCCAGACCTCTGGGTTTGGTGGTGACAAACAGGTAGCAGAGGACGCACAGAGTGATGACGAAAGCAAGCAGGACCACAGCTGCAACGGAGAGACCCACAAGAGCTCCGAGGCTGCAGGGCACAGCAGAAGGAAGCTTAGAGCAGAGAACAACAGAGTGGAACTAGAAGGTTTTTTTTTTTATCTCCGCAGCACTTCGGCTTCCTGCAGGAAAAATAGTTTTGCGCCTCTTTTCCAATTTTGCAAAATAAAAGCTGCAGGTGTGTTGGGTAATTAAAGCTGACAACTTTCTTGTCTGAGTAGCAATGATAAAACAGAATCTGTTCTATGAAGAGAAAAATAAAGTCTGCTTATATTTTATTAGATCATTTCACGTGATTACCTTCATATTCTGCAAATACAAGAATGAAAATTAAGTCAAGAAAATCAGCCAATCGGAAACACGCTCCACTTTCCACGCAGCGACTCAAAGCTGGATGTCAGATTCTGATTAGTCTGTCCATTAAAAACATGCTGGATAATTTGGACCGAATGTGCTGGTTCTGTTGGTTTCACAGTCCGGACACACATACACACACATGCACACACACGCATACTCATACCAACCGGCTGAGAGCAACAGTCATTCAGCAAAAACTGAGCTGAAATATCTACGCTCATATTGAGATTCTGGTGAGCTTCCCAGGATATACATTATGCAGCATTAGAGTCTACAGCACAGCCACAAGCTCATTACACATAATGCCACATAACGATGCACAGTGGCCAGCATACACAGACCAGAGCCAGTAATTCTCCTGGACCTCAGAGCTGTTGCACGATCATGCCGGGACTATATTCATTTCATGAACATAGAAAAGCAAATGCACTCAGTGACTGCTCAGCTCATATACCATTTTTGGCAAATATGTTTTAACTACAGAGCGACAAGCAGCTCAGCTCCACGTCGGTCAAAACAGAGGTAGACACCTGGATTGATCCAAAGCTGCTTCCGCCTGCGTGGGCTGCAGGTGAGGAATGAAATAGCAACATGAATTACTTCATAAATAAATAACATGTCTTTGGGAATGTTTTCACAATCTGGCAATAATCATGACATTTCATTGAGTCCGTCTGGCAGCAACAGTCTAACCTTCAAGGACTTATTGTAACTACAACCGTGATTAACGTGTTGATTTTGTAAAATTATGTGGATCTTAAGACACAGAAAACTTTAATGCAATTAATTCACTTTTTTTTCTAACATACAAAGTTTCCAGAATTTTTGTATTCACGCATTTCTGGTACATCCGTAAATCTGATGCAGAACCGACATCCACAGTGAACAGCAGTGATGGACGACAGTCACTTCTGACTTGTGGATTCAACTCTGAAACGTCTTCAGGGTTATAAAAAAAAGACCAATGGAAAGACTCTGCAACTTCATTATGGGATCAGTGTACCCCTCTAGTTTCTCTGGTTTATGAAAAGAAATTAGTGTTGCAACAACTATGAAACTATTGAGAGTTTAAGAGTTGATTTAATACATGTAGAGTGCGAAGGGTACACTGACCTTGTAAAACCACTTCTGGTTTTGTCGTCCATAATTGCTGTAATTTTGGCCTGGCAGCCTCTCCTCTGTCAGACTGCCTCAGGGCAGCTATGGCTACAATCCACCATCGTGAAAGTGTGAATGTAGTGTGAAGCGCTTTAGGATCCTCTGGTGCTGATAAAACTCTATACAAGTACTGGCATTTACTTCTCTTGGTCCATTGGGAATGTAGAGTGTGCCCAATTGGGCGTCAAAGTCTGCTTTGAAAAACCATCTGCTGGAAAAAATTATTATGTTCAAGTTGTGCTAAAAAGAGTTAGCCTATCAGTGAAGCTATTCAAGCCTAAAGTAGCATCTCAGTGCTAAATATGTAGCAGCAGCACAGAGTCTCTAACATTAATATCAGCGTCCACAGTGCACATTTCTGAAAAAATTCATGAATGATCAGGAGTTCCTGAAACTCTGGAAAGATAAAGGGACAGAACAGAACTTTGATCCGATCTGATGGTTGGTATAACAGACTAAAAACAAAACTCTGTTGTTGAACTCTATTTGCTATTTATTCAATAATTCAGCAGCAAACAAGGCTTTTTTCCTAAAATAAACATTTTAGCTATTTTTTATTTATTAGCACCTGAATTGCTATTAATTGCAATTTATTAATTACAGACTGCAATTAACTATAATTAAACATTTTAATGGAGTCTCACCACTAAATCAAACTCCAGTGTCAACGTGATTCTGGTTTTATTACCAGTTTGTCAGCAGTCTGAACACACTGAGATATCTCAGCACACACATGCTTCATTTAAAAACTTGTTGAATAGCTGCTTTGTTCAGTTAATTATTAAACCTTTCATAAACTCACCAGCTCCTGCTGACATTAAGCAGCGCCTCGTTTATTTTACGCTTCATTGTTTGAACGTTTTTAATCAACCCAGAAGCAGTTCCGCTGTTATTATCTGACATAAAGCAACAAAACACGCAAATTCCTCACTGCGCGGAAACTCTGCAGGCTAAATGTCAGCAACACCTTCCTGAGCGAACCAGAGGTGTTCAGTTCAGCCAGGTCAGGGAGGAGCGCAGAGATCAGTCTGCTCCTGAAACATGTGGGCTGCTGACCTGAGCAACAGGCAGTTTGATCACCTCCTGAACCCAAACTGAGCTCCACCTGCACAGTCACAGTGATCCCTCACCTCAGCCACCACATGTATCCATACTCGTAGGGGAAGAAGCTGTTCGGGTCATCACAGCAGTACTTCAAGTCACTGAAGCCGCAGCAGAACACCGCTGTGGACTCGCCCCCCGCCTTCGGACACGTGAAGCTGTCCACGAACACCTTTTCCCTGGAGTGGTAACTCTCGCACACCGCGCTCATGTCAGGCGCACAGGACGCGCAGCCGGCCAGCGGGAACAGACTGCTCTCATTCCGCCCTGATCCAGCTGCTGAGGCTTGGCGAGAGAGAGAGAGAGAGAGAGAGAGAGAGAGAG